AAAGTGTAAAAAGAACCAGAAACGATAGCTCCGAACAATAGCCAGCAACTTCGAGTTCCTCAGCTCCGTGACCATGACCAGCACAGCTGGTAGCACATCCAAAAGACGGAGGATCGCCTCACCGCGAGAGAGCCATCGGATGGCGTGGATCCCCTGCACTTCCAGGTTGGTGTCGTTGAACATCTGCTGCAGGTCCTTGAAGCGTTGATGCCACGGTCCAGAACGACCGAGGAACTCTGCAATCTCTTTGATGAAGTCGTCGACGATGCCGAAACTCTTCATCTCTTCCGCGGCATCCTTGGCCGCCAGCGCCTCCCTGCAAGTACAAAACGAATGTGTTAAAACACGTCTCGCGGGTATACGAAAGCGGGAAACTCCTCAATAACACTTACCGATGGGCGATGCAGTGGCATGACACGAGGTGTGGGACAAGCACTCTCAGTCGAGCGACAAGGCCACGCGTCTTCCCGAGCATGACGGCAGCGCCGTCAGTACTGATGCCGGAGATTCGGCGTAGATCCACACCAATAGCCTGGATGTGGGACAACAACAGCGAGAGCAACGAGGCAGCGTCAGCCCTGTCAACTGTGAGAAGCGCAAGGAGTTCCGTCACTTGACGGTTCTCCCGAATGAAGGTGGCAAACACAATCATGTGTTTGCCACGACAGCGGTCGGTGCTCTCATCGAGACTGAGGCCGATGTAGGGGCTGGCCAGGAGGTGTTCGAGCTGAGTGGTCTGGAGCCATGACGCGAGGGCTTGTGTGAACTGGCCGAAGCCATACCTGCCATAGTATCACGAAAAGAGAGATAAGGACGTGAAAAAGTCGCGAATGTAGATAAAAACTAAACACGGTCGGAGACTTACGAGTTGTAGTACGTTCCGTAGCCTTGCTCTGGAAAGCCGCGGTACTTCCGTTCCGCCAGGTATCGCGTGAGACGAATCCACGTCTCCATCGGCTCGTTGCAGCGGCTGCAAAAGTAGAGCACGTCGAGCAATGAAGACACGTGAAGCAGCTCCAGGTCTTGAGCGAGCGGGTGTTGGTCGATGCGTTGTTGGTTGGTCGCCATCTGCAGCAAGTCGATTTGCTTGGCCACCGCGAGCTCATGTCGAGTAGTCGCAGCGTGCTTCTTGAACGCTTGGACCTGCACGTCGGTTGCTCCGTGCCCGCTCCTGCCAGTTTTCCCCTTGAGACCTGCATGTTCGGTGCACACAGAGCACTTGAAAGCGGGCAGGCCGCTGTCAGTTTTTGTGATGAGCAGCCATGGATAGGCCTTAGACCAGCGGGATTGGAAGCGGTCCAACGCGTCGGCATATGTTTCTTCTGACGTCAGCCTCTTCCGACCAGCAGACGGCACCTCTTCCTCTTCCTCGTCGTCGTCGGAGTCCGAAGCGGCAGGCTCGCAATCTTTCGCCGGAGGTGCAAAAGACAGTCGTATCTGTCGATAACGGCCAGTCCGAGGGGTGGGCTTCGCAGCAGTCGGCGACGCTACTGAATCTAGTACAGAAGCTGGACGAGTGGGAGATGAGGATAAGAATGGGCTTGCTGGTCGCACGATACGACGTGCTTCTGGCGAAGAAGGAGGGCGGCTGGAACTCGGTTCATCGAGATGTGTTGGAAGCGGCGGTGCTAACGGAATACTACCGAGGGACGACAGTAACAGGTCTAGCCCCGTGCGCATTTCGCGCTCGTCGGCGACCTGCCAGGCATCGTCGTCGCCTATGTCGTTGTCTCCACCCGATTCCGCCATGACGAGAGGAGCGGAATCAGGGTCCTAAACCATTACTAACAGGCGTCGAGGAAGAAATGACACTGCGGGCCAAGGCAACCCTACTTCCAAGCGATGGAGAACACGCTGGAGCAGACGACCCCTTCAAGAACGCGGTGCGGTTCTGCTGCTGCCCATGCAACGTTCGCGGGGGTACCCCCTTCTGGAATCTTCAGGTGTGCGCTCCGGGGGAGCATCTTTTCTGCACTGCTGTACCAGCGATTATGCAGCTGAGTCACAAAAAGCTCTGGCGATTGGTTTACTTAGCTGAAATTTGCCTAACACCCAATCACAATGCGCAGTCGCCAGGCCTCAGGATATCAGGGTAAAATACCCTTACGGCCCTTATAATAAGGGTGGGGTAGCTGTTGGACCCTTATTTTTAAAAGTGGTTTAGTTTTTGACCCTTATGAAAAAAACTAGATCTATACGGGACCCTGTTTTTTCAAAGTGGTCGAGTGTAGGGACCCTGATGCGGAAAAGTGTTGTGTAAAATCACCCTTACACAATCACACATGCGATCCCCCCCTGAAATATTTTATCCCCTTGGCAACCTGTAGATTTCGGCTAAGTCCCCCCAATCCGAGAGTCATTCCTCCTATACCCCCCGCAACCCAAGATTTCGGCTAAGTCCCCCACTGCCTAAGGCATTCCTCCCACAGCCCTCGAGCGACCCCGAAAAATTGGTGAAGTCCCCCACTCGCAGAGACAAAGCCGCTGTAGTACCTTCGCAACCCGGAGGATTCGGCTAAGTCCCCCAGTTCCAAGTGTGTTCCAGTCAGACTCGGGGGAATAACTACTTTGAAATTACAGGGTAGCCTGAAACGAAAACAAAGCCCTGGACGTGATATGTCAAATTTTCTCTTCCCCCCTACCCACTTCGGCGAGGGAATCTCGGCGACTTGAATTGAAGTTTCCACGGGTTTTTACCTGGCCCCTGCCCGCGCACGACGGGGATTCAAGTCGTCAATTTCTTCTGCTAATGGTTTACGTTTTTTTTGCTGCCACTCACCCAAGAATTCATGCGCACGGTTACAAAACTTGCCGACTTGAATGTATAATTCGTGTTGGTAGAGTCGTATCGGCCACTACATTAGCTAAAGAAATGAAAGAACAAAAAAAAAACAAAAAACAAAAAAAAAAACAAAAAAAAACAAACAAAAAACGAGTGCGGCACCAACGGGAAATGAGGTCGCGACCAGGAAGGGTCTAGGGAATGAGGTCGTATTTCTACAAGACAGTAATCACTACCAGCAAACCCGGAATGGACTCTGAAACGCGAAACGGTGAGGTCCGAGGGTCAAAACGCGAATTCCTGTTCGGTTCGATTTGGTACTTCGCGAAGTTTGGTTCTCTGGTACTGAAAGCACTAATGTAGAAATACGCACTAACAGCAAAATTACCGAGGTGCGACATTCCCCCCACTTCAGCGCTAACAAACAAAAACAAAAATCTTGGTGCACCCTGTCGAGTGCCACCCAAGGCACGTCGTCACAAATCTGCAACACGTCAGTCGTCTGATCACGCGAGATCCTGTACCTACAGTAAAGTGTAAGGCTGCGCTGGAGTTATACCCTTATGTGAAAAAGTACAAATATTTAGGACCCTTATATTACAAAGTAGCTTTTAAATATACCCTTACAGAAAAAGTGGCAGCAAGCGAGTACCCTTACAAGAAAGAGTACTTCTAATCCTATCCAGAGGCCTGGCAGTCGCTAGTGTGCTAGCAACGGTGGAGGGGAATCCGCGTCAGATGTCACGCCGACAGCCCAACATTGCAGCCACGCGGCGTGATTGACGGGGGTAAACCTGTCACTTAGCGGTAATCGCGGGGGGCCCTCGGAACACAATATACTCGGTTTCAGCCTTCCCCCCAGGGAGTGCGCTGAAACCTCAGCCTACACTCTAGAAAAAAGGCTGAAAACATCAGACTAGGCTATAAAAAAAAGTCTGAAATTGACAGCCTTACGTATAATAAAAAGTCTTTCAGTTCAGCCTTGGTACAAAAAAAAAGTCTGAAAAAAGGCTGAATCAGCGTAAAAAGGCTGATATCTAGGGGCCTGATCCTGAACCAACACTTGAGGGTTTGCCAAGTGTTAGCAATTATAGTTTTATACTTAGTCTTTACAACACTAGGAGATTTATTTCAGTGCTAAGGGGTTGTACTCTCTAAGAGTATGCATCTATCTAGCCTATAATAACATGTACACATATGTTTGAAACTTGCAGGCCCTCAGAAGTTAGGCCAAAAAGGCCTGAAAGCCTGTATATCAGGGTGTTTTTTTAGGGCATACCATGTTTTTTCAGGTTTTAATTTTCATCAAACCTGAAATTTAGGTGTTCCCGTTTTTTAAGGCCTGAAAAATAGTTTATTTTTGTTTTAGCGAGCCTGAGGAATCAGCCTTAATAGTATGATTACGAGCTTGACGAATAGTAGGATCAGCTACTAAAAAAATGCAGGCCTGATTAGTTAGGCTTTTTTTTTTCTTGGCCTGACAAAACACGCCACGCCCAAAATCCGACCCTGAAAAACAGGTTTCTCACATGGGAGACTCTGAGCAATCAGCCTCCCTCAAACCAATCTGAGGCCTTGCCATCTTCCAATTCTTGTTTATGACTCACGATAAGTCATAACATTTGTGATGGTTATCCTTCTTGTCATGTCACTTTCGCCCGGGGTTTATCGAACCGACTGTTTAATTCTCCGGAGTGCGCTGTTCGTTGGGCACACCAGGCCAACCACGTGAACCTCGCGCACAGGTTCGTAATTTTGCATTCTTCTTGAATCCGCGCGAGCCAGAGGCTTGGCATAGGTTAGGCTTGCCCCAACGTGCGCGCGCCCCTCTTTCCACCCAAAATGTCTTTGGCGCGAACCCAACGCCATGCATGGAGAACGTTCCCCCCGTCAATTTCGCTACGCGCGCTACGGGTTCGAGAAGACATAAGTGACCGCGTGTCGTCGTCGTGGGTCACGTTTGGTGGTTATCACATGCGCACATGCCGAGTCGCGGGATTGCCGAACCATCGCATGGGTTTCCGTCAATCGCGTTTCGCCCCGTTTGACCCAAGACGCCAGCTTCCCCGCCATGGGTTCGGCGGGGATTTGCTTTGCCCGCATGAGGAGGGGTCGTATGTCAGATGTCCAGCTGACAAAGAAACGCAGCGGCGTCCCACCCAACGGCAAGCAGTAAAATTAGTCCGAGGGGCCAACGGCCCGTGGGTTGACCCAATTGCTATTTTCTGGGCACACGCACATAGTGGGTCAAAGACCTACACTATCAAGTACGGGAACATAACGAGCTCCTCCCAGTCTCCAATTGGTTTAGGGATTGCTCTATTGCGCTCTCTCCTGCAGAGCTCAGTGTTATCCCATCAGCCAGCTAGGTCGCTCGTCTTACCCCTCGGCAAGTGCAGCCTCGTGGCCTCAACTCGACTAGACCATTGTAGCTCCTGGGTGCCGTAGGTCCTCGTGACGCTCCGTGTTTCGTCTTGGCTCACATCTCCACCTCCACCTCTGCTCCGTCTGCATCTAAAATCTGCGAGGCGAGGCGCAAAAACAAGATGCCACCAAACATGGCTCCGCCTATGAAACTAGTGTCGCCGTCGGGCCCAGGCAAGCCGATCGACGTGGAGGGCGAGAGCAACGAAAAGCTCAGGTCCAACTCGTTTGTGCAACGGTCAGCGCGGAGTCTAAGTGGGCCGCAACTAACGTGCCTCACTGTCTTCGTCGTCGTGACGTGAGTCCTCTCTCCCACGCCGCTCAGATGCGGTGCCTGCATCGTCGGCATCTGAGCAGCGCTGCGGCTATGCTCCCAAAACCCACATGCCGTCACTGTTTTGCAGCGTCGCACAACCTATCCCTCATCGCCTACCTGTGTCGTCGGGCCGTTCGCCAGCTCGGTGTCTCCAGTGTCTCAGTCACGACGCTTGCTTTCTTTCTCTCTTCCCTCCGTCGCCACTATTCCCCTCGTTGTCTCGTGATGCAGATTCATAGGGCTGCTGTACCGCTCCACGTCACCACTGCTAGGCCAATCGGGCTCGGACTCAGGAGAAGCCCCGTGGGGGGACGCGGTGTGGGAACATCAAGTACTAGCGTCGAGCCAACCCCAAGAGGCTGCGGGCCTCGTGGTTCTAGTCACTGGCGCGGCGGGCTTCGTAGGGTCGCACGTGTCGTTGGCGCTCAAGAGGCGAGGCGACGGGGTGGTGGGAATTGACAACTTCAACAGCTACTACCCGATCGCGCTCAAGAGGGCCAGGCAGGGCCGCCTCGCCGAGAAGGGAATGTAAGCTCGCCAGTGCCGGTGCCCCCTGCGGTGCTTGTTGCGGTCCTTTCCAGTACCTCCATCTGTCAGCGCTGCCGTCCCGAACCTCCTGTACTGCTCCAGCTTCCGGTTTCCGGCTTCCGCCCAACTAGTTCTCCCTATCCCTGTCCGCTCTTTTCCTCGACTAAACCTGCTCCTCGTGATTCACAGAATCTTCGTTCTGTCGTGTCTTTTCTCCTTTTATCCGTTGGGTCCGCAGTTTCATCGTGGACGGCGACATCACCAACCAGGCCATCCTCGCGCGGCTCTTCCAGCTCGTCAAGTTCACGCACGTGCTGCACCTCGCCGCGCAGGCCGGCGTGCGGTACGCCGTGCACAACCCGCTCGCATACGTGCACTCGAACGTGCAGGGCTTCGTCACGCTGCTGGAGGAATGCAAGGCCGCGAACCCGCAGCCTGCGGTCGTGTACGCGTCGTCGTCGAGCGTGTACGGGCTCAACAGCAAGGTTCCCTTCTCTGAAGACGATCGCACGGACCGGCCCGCGAGCCTGTACGCCGCGACGAAGAAGGCTGACGAGGTGCTCGGGCACACGTACAACCACATCTACGGGCTCTCGATCACCGCGCTGCGCTTCTTCACGGTGTACGGCCCCTGGGGCCGCCCCGACATGGCGTATTTCTCGTTCGCGCGGAACATCGTGAAGGGCAAGCCGATTAAGATTTTCCAGGGGCCCAAGAAGGAGGAGCTTGCGCGGGACTTCACGTACATTGACGACGTGGTGCGCGGGTGCGTGGCTGCGCTGGACACGGCGGCGCCGAGCACGGGCAGTGGGGGGAAGAAGAAGCGCAAGGCGCCGATGCGCGTGTTCAATCTGGGGAACACGCAGCCCGTGAAGGTCGGCGAGTTCGTCGGTATTCTCGAGAAGCACCTTCAGAGGCAGGCCATTCGCAAGTAAGTGTGCCGCGTTCATCCCCTTCCGGGGTTGCATTTTTACCCTGTCGCTCGGTGGTAGGACCCATACTTTCAGAAGTTTCGACGTCTCAAGCTCAATATCCCGTCTCGCTTCTTTTTATCTTCCGTGCAGCTACATCCAAATGCCCAGCACTGGTGACGTCATGTTCACTCACGCCAACGTCACAAGAGCCCACAACGATCTTGGGTAAGCGGGTGGGGGATCGTCTATTATATTCTGGCAACATAGGTTTTTAAGGTATTGGCCTTTTGGTATCGATTCCTCGGGTTCTGATGTTTCTCGTTCTTCCCCTACGCTTTTTGCTTTGCGCAGCTATCAGCCGACCACCGATTTAGATGCGGGATTGGAGAAGTTCGTGCGGTGGTTCAAGAGCTACTACAGGGACGGCAGCGAGAACGAGAAGACGCTGGACGGCTACAAGCCCTACTAAAGGAGGCGGGAGCCCTACCGACTGACGAACGAGCCATTTAATCCGTCATATCCTCACTACCAATACGAGCCAGCGTCGACAAAGGTCCCACGTGTCTCTCCATCGGCCCCCTGCGTGCGCTATTTGGTAGCTGGCTCACTCACTGGCTCACTCACTGGCTCATCCGACACTCATATTCTGGAAACTCGCAGCAGTCGAACCGTTCGCCCCGATTGCATCCATTCGCCCATCCAGCATTTTCCTCTGCCCTCGTATCTCGCAAACCCTCGCAAACCGAGACGTCCTCTTCGCTCTGCACCTGCAACAGAGAGGTCCATCTGCTGGTTGGGCATTTTAGTGTGCAGCATTTTCGCCACCAACCGTAGTTTCTCCCTACAGCTGTTCCTGTTGTTCCCTCCGATTCGCATCGCCCTGTCTTCGCGCCTACGTTGGCCTCCATTTCTGCTGCACCTGTTCCCCACCCTCGCCGCGCTTTCCCCCTCGGCTCATCACATTCTTCTCGTTCCCGCCGTCGACCTTCTATCGAATGTTTCAGTGCAACCAAGATTGTTCGGGTTCAACCGAACATGGCGACAAGGTATGGTGCAGACCTCGCAAGTGCTGTACCCATAGGGTTTGACTGACATAAAAGGGGCGATATGCTTATTGTTATTCGCTAGGTCATAATAAAACGTCTTAGGACTCTTAGGATGATACTCTAGGGCTTTGAATGCTTATATTTGTGTTGGTGCAGTACATTGATGCAGTTAGCGAAATGTAAGGATTTCAGATGTGGAAAGGAATGGTGTAAACATGTAGAATGCAAACTCAATCTGCGCTACAAAAAAACGTACAGAAGCATGCGAAATTGTGCAATTGAATCACACTCAATAGTTCATTCTATTTTCCGGGAAGATAGTTATCATCAATCAAACTTGCTATCTGTTGGAAATATCTCAAAGGACTTAAGCGTTTCTGAAGTGTAACACTACACTCGAGGAAGACCGCAACGGGTACGCGAGTCAACGGAGGTTACACGAGGGGGCGAACAAAGAACGCGAAGGGACTCGAAGGGTCGCAACTGGAGGTTGCGACTGACCGTTACAACAGCGCGGATGGTAACCGAAGCGACAATCGAGTCGCTGTGCGACTCGATAACCGTTCCTGCAACTGTATTCTACAACTGCTTTCTTATTTTCTATATATTGCTGTATGCTTGTTTCTTTAATCGATCACTTGTTCTCATATACTAGTACAAGGGTTCAACTACCTCAACTTCCGCTGCACTACTCAAGTCTCATTCTACAACTGGGACTTAGTCTCTGGAAAGATCCTAAGGGCTTTTCTCAGCCCAATATGGTATGAGAGCTGGTCAGCAGGCCTCAGGATATCAGGGTAAAATACCCTTACGGCCCTTATAATAAGGGTGGGGTAGCTGTTGGACCCTTATTTTTAAAAGTGGTTTAGTTTTTGACCCTTATGAAAAAAACTAGATCTATACGGGACCCTGTTTTTTCAAAGTGGTCGAGTGTAGGGCAGGCCTCAGGATATCAGGGTAAAATACCCTTACGGCCCTTATAATAAGGGTGGGGTAGCTGTTGGACCCTTATTTTTAAAAGTGGTTTAGTTTTTGACCCTTATGAAAAAAACTAGATCTATACGGGACCCTGTTTTTTCAAAGTGGTCGAGTGTAGGGACCCTGATGCGGAAAAGTGTTGTGTAAAATCACCCTTACACAATCACACATGCGATCCCCCCCTGAAATATTTTATCCCCTTGGCAACCTGTAGATTTCGGCTAAGTCCCCCCAATCCGAGAGTCATTCCTCCTATACCCCCCGCAACCCAAGATTTCGGCTAAGTCCCCCACTGCCTAAGGCATTCCTCCCACAGCCCTCGAGCGACCCCGAAAAATTGGTGAAGTCCCCCACTCGCAGAGACAAAGCCGCTGTAGTACCTTCGCAACCCGGAGGATTCGGCTAAGTCCCCCAGTTCCAAGTGTGTTCCAGTCAGACTCGGGGGAATAACTACTTTGAAATTACAGGGTAGCCTGAAACGAAAACAAAGCCCTGGACGTGATATGTCAAATTTTCTCTTCCCCCCTACCCACTTCGGCGAGGGAATCTCGGCGACTTGAATTGAAGTTTCCACGGGTTTTTACCTGGCCCCTGCCCGCGCACGACGGGGATTCAAGTCGTCAATTTCTTCTGCTAATGGTTTACGTTTTTTTTGCTGCCACTCACCCAAGAATTCATGCGCACGGTTACAAAACTTGCCGACTTGAATGTATCATTCGTGTTGGTAGAGTCGTATCGGCCACTACATTAGCTAAAGAAATGAAAGAACAAAAAAAAAACAAAAAACAAAAAAAAAAACAAAAAAAAACAAACAAAAAACGAGTGCGGCACCAACGGGAAATGAGGTCGCGACCAGGAAGGGTCTAGGGAATGAGGTCGTATTTCTACAAGACAGTAATCACTACCAGCAAACCCGGAATGGACTCTGAAACGCGAAACGGTGAGGTCCGAGGGTCAAAACGCGAATTCCTGTTCGGTTCGATTTGGTACTTCGCGAAGTTTGGTTCTCTGGTACTGAAAGCACTAATGTAGAAATACGCACTAACAGCAAAATTACCGAGGTGCGACATTCCCCCCACTTCAGCGCTAACAAACAAAAACAAAAATCTTGGTGCACCCTGTCGAGTGCCACCCAAGGCACGTCGTCACAAATCTGCAACACGTCAGTCGTCTGATCACGCGAGATCCTGTACCTACAGTAAAGTGTAAGGCTGCGCTGGAGTTATACCCTTATGTGAAAAAGTACAAATATTTAGGACCCTTATATTACAAAGTAGCTTTTAAATATACCCTTACAGAAAAAGTGGCAGCAAGCGAGTACCCTTACAAGAAAGAGTACTTCTAATCCTATCCAGAGGCCTGCTGGTCAGAGACCAAACTCCCAGCAACTACGATCTATCTACAATCTGCAATTCAACGACTTCATTAATTACAAGCCATGGACAACAAGGGCAAGAAGACCTCTACGGGCTCACCCAGCGCCCAAGACATTCAACCCGGCAACTCTGGATTGCATACTTCAGGACTGCAAACCGAGACCGGCGCTGCTCAAGAAACAACAGGAAGAGCACCGGAAATGGTGACCCCATCACCCTCTTCAAGCGTGGACCCGAACCTTATGGAAAGGTTCTTCAGCTTCATGTCGCACTTCGAGCAGCAGCAGCAGACAAGGACACCTGCGCATTCAACACAGAGCAACGGAGGAAACATGGGATTAGCGCCGATGAGCCTCGACAATTCATCGTTCGGGCGACACAATCAAGCGCCTACCTTTGCGCCTTATCACTCTTCACCGGGGACGTTCGAGTTCATGCCACCCCGTGCCCAACCAACAGCAGCTGCATCACAACAAACACCAAACGAGATTTTAAGTCTACAGACGCAGTTTTCACACGTGATTAAACTGCAGACATCATCACCATTCAACGGACATGATTTCTTTACCTGGAGTTTTGAGTTCGAGCTGCTGATGGAGGCTGCGCATCTCCTGGGATACTTCAATGGGTCCCTGCCATTCCCAAGCAACGGCACTGCAAAGGAGCAAGAAATATTTACTTATCAGTCGCTGCTGGCGTACACAGTTCTCCTGCGGAACCTGTCACCACAAGAACAGCAGAGCATCAGAACATATCGGAGCTATGGAAACTCCGCGGAACTCGCATGGCATCATCTCAAGTGTCTCTATCAAGCAAACGACAGCGTGACACAAAGCAGACTCATGCAACAACTGACAACAATACAGATGAAGACAGGGGAAAAGGCAATGCAGTATATGAGTCGCTGCCAGACCCTCCGCGACCGCCTGCTTCGGTGCGGAGGAACAATCACTGAGGAAAGCTTCGTGACGCTTGTCCTCGCCGGGCTCCGACCAGAATGGAGAACCACACGCTCGCTTCTTCGCGCCCACGGAAGAATCTCAGAGATGCACCTCTGCGCCGAGCTTCACGCTGAACAACAGGAGATGGACCTGTTCGAAGAACGACAACCAAGGAAGCAGCAACAATTAGTTTTCTACACTCAACGAAGGAACGACAACAACTACAATCGACGCGGCAAGCAAGATCAACGCGACAACAGAGGACTCACCTTCGTGCCGCCGTTCTGCCACAACTGTCAGACTTCCGGACATTCTAAGGTCAACTGCACACGTCCTCGTGTTTATCGTCCAGTAGACCCACACGTCGCCTCCACTCAAGAAAGCCCTCCAAGGCGCTCTTCCGCATCTGCACAAGGGACACCGAACATCATTAACTGCATGGTCCACATCGACAACTGCGCACCCGGATCACCACCCACTTACGCACCAGACGAAGAAGAACTTCCGCCGCCGCGCTCACAAGGACTTGAGGTCAACCCGACATACGCTGCGGTCGCCAACGCCGAACCCACCGGGCGAAACACCTGGTTCTTGGACAGCTGCTGCGGTCAACACATGTGTTCTTCCGGACGCTTCGTGCAACGAGAGCGACGACTCACCCGCGACGTCATCATCACCGTCGCCAACAACGAAAACCTGAAAACAAACAGACAAGGCGTGGTTCCGTTACAATCCATGGAGACAAATGTTATACTTCAACTCAACAAGGTCCTCATCGTCGACAACTTGGGATACAACTTACTAAGCGTAAGCCAGCTAATGGCAAAAGGGATTCACCTGGAGTGCGACTCCTACTCCAACGAGTTTCGCCTTTACCACGGGAAGGGCGGTCTCTTCATCGGTCGCGCTCTCCTGAAGTCCGGCGTCTTCGTATTGGACTTCGTCCCCGACCGTGGCACTGCCGACAGCGACGGAATCGTGTCGTTCGCCGCCTGGACACACCCGCCGGATCTTGACCCCGACTTCGATCCTGACGGATTCTGGCACTCCAACACCATACCTGCAACAGAGAGAACACGAGCACTAGCAGTCATCAGACAAGAACGACAAGTAGCAGCAAGTGTCCCTTCCCAACCATCACCTGCACTAGCAGCAGCAGGACCCAGCCGAGTACCACCGCCAGCGATCCGAGGACCGCCAACCGAAGCAGATCAACTTATGCCCATCACACGAGAGGTCTGTCGAAGTCCCGCCACAGTCGTCGCGTTCTTCTCCAACACCGACATATACCACCGCTCGCCCGGCCATCGCGCTCCCGATGACATCTGGCACCAACGCCTCGGGCACCCTGCAAATAGTACAATACTACAAACCATCCAAGCCGAAGTGTTAGAACGCAACGCTCTCCTAACCACGAGCGGCCAAGAACTTCGACGACCACGCGCACGGTGCTTTACGTGCCCCGAAGCCGATCTTCCCCATCAGCCTTTCCCATCTCATCACAACCCAAGCGCACGTGCATACGCACCGATGGAAAAAGTCTACAGCGACATTTTAAACATGCCTCGAGAAGACTCTGAAGCAAACTTCAACTATGTCATCACGTTTATCGACGCAGCAACAAGATACGTCTGGCACTACAACCTCAAGACGCGTGACCAAGCCTTCGACGCCTTCACGACATGGCTACCCATCGCCGAACGAGAATCAGGAACCAAGCTCAAGAGCTTCCAGTCAGATGGTGCACTGGAATACCAGTCACAACGCTTCAGGACCTATCTGGCGGAAAGAGGAATCAGACGCCTGGTGTCTCTGCCCTACGCTCACCAGGAGCAGGGGGTCGCAGAACGCATGAACCGGACCTTGCAGACGACGATGCGAAAGCTGCTCCTGGGGATGAGACTGCCCACCACA